GTATTGATTTGATTTTGATTTAGGATTTATTTGAGTTACTAACTTTTATGGACTATAAAACTTATTGGAGCATCCAAAAATTATAAGCTCAAACTTGAAATAATACGTTAAAAGATAAAACTATATAAAATCTTAAGAAATATTTATAAACTACACTACCATAAATATTTTTATGTATTAAATATATTTAAAACTTCTATACATATAATGTCGGGTCAGTTTAGTTTTGGTTTGACCTTTTTTAGTTATAACCAAACCAAACTAAATATGATCGGGTTTTTTTTCCAACACCAAATCAAACCAAACCATAGTCGGGTTTTTTCCGATTTGACTCGGATTATCGGGTTGGTGCAGTTTGTCGGTTTTATTTGTACACCCCTAATTGTGAGGTTGTATGATCCCTTCCGTATCTTCGTCGTTGAAAGATAAAATTCCTTCCGGTACGTAGTCTCGTGTTCGTTTCTCCCTAGTGATGGATACTTTGGTGCGTTTCAACATCGGCCCTTGTGGGATATCGACTCCACCAATGATCATATTTATGACGTGTTGAGATTCGGTATCTTCTTGTCATGTCTGTTTGTTAGAATCCCTATTTCTAAAGTGGTTCTTGGCTCGGTCGCTCAACAATTCTCGAAGGTGCCCATTGTTGAATAAACGGGCTACTTCTTCTCTCAGCTGTCGACAATCTTCCGTTCTGTGACCGTGAGTGCCATACTATTTCCACATCTAGTTAGGGTCCCTTTGAGCTGGATCTGATTGTAGAGGTCGAGGCACATGGTATTATTGATGCACCCGATAGCTGATACGATAGCGGTAGCATCGACATTGAAGTTGTATTCCGATAGCCTCGGCGCTTCTTTAGGCCCGATAGACCTGTCGAAGCTATTTTTGGTCATGAGCCCCCGGTTGCGTTGACCTTGATCATTTCGTCTTTCGTTTCTTACGGGGTACCGCCCCGGACCCACTGCTCATTCAATCTTTATTATATGGTAGATATCGATCCCTGTTTGATCTTGGTTCACGATCGATGTCTCTCTTGACTCTGTCGAGGGTTCTGACGGGATAAACAGACTCCGAGTGGGCCCCGAGTTGGTCATCTTCGACTCTGATTTTTGATTGATACCGATTATGTATATCTGCCCAGGTAACGGTAGAGTATTCTATCAGATTCTGCTTCAGGTTGTGTGAAGCCACCGAGCTCTGAATATTGAGTCCCTGAGTGAAAGCTTGTACAACACAATCATCAACGACTGGCGGCAGATCCATTCGTTCCATTTGGAAATGGGACACGAATTCTCTGAGCATCTCATAATCCTTCTGTTTAACTTTGAAAAGGTCTGATTTCCTAGTTTTGACTTTGATGGCACCAGCATGTGCTTTCACGAAGGAGTCTGCAAGCATAGCAAATGAATCGATAGAATTAGGAGGTAAGTTTTGATACCATTTCATAGATCCATTTGACAGGGTTTCCCCGAATTCTTTTAGTAGAACAGACTCAATCTCGTCGTCTTCCAGGTCGTTCCCTTTGATGGCACACATGTAAGAAGTTACATGCTTGTTTGGATCGGTCATCCCGTTATACTTAGGTATTTCGGGCATATGGAATTTATTGGGGATCGGCTTTGGAGCCGCGTTTGGAGGAAAAGGTTTTTGCACGAACTTCCTGGAATCCAGTCCTTTTAATATCGGAGGTGCCCCTAAGATTTGATCTACCCTAGAATTGTAGGTTTCTACCTTTTTATCGTTTGCTTCGATTTTTTTTCCCCTGATTCTATCCGCTTTGTCAGTTCCTCGAGCATCTTCATAATCTCGGGGTTAGTACCAGATTCTTGTTTATTTTACCTCATTATGACCGGTTCATTTCTGCGGGTGACTTCACGGGGCGGATCGAATTCAACTCTATTCGGCGTGTGGCTTTGGCTCTGCAACTGAGCTATCGCCACATGTTGAGCCTGCAGCATTTCAAAGATCATCCATAGGTTGGTCCCGTCTTCTTCATTGTTTTGTGCATTTTGAGCTGCAGATCGGGCCCCACCACAGATGCTATTTTCGGGGTCGGTAGGCAAGTTAGCGTCGATCTTCACATGTGAATTAATATCAATCGGGTCTACAATTGTAATTCCTACAGGACCAGCGGGTGGCCCTACGTTACCGGACACTATATTTTTATTCTCACCCTGATGACCGAACTCGTTGTCGATAGGCAGGGGGGCTAATTGAGAGTTTGTCATTTTTAGCCTGAAATCAAAGACACTTCAAAGAGTAATTGTAAAGTAGTGTGTGTGTGTTATGGAGATTTGTATCAAATAACCACTATTATCCTTAGCCTCACGGTGTGCGCCAAACTATTTACCCTCAAAATCGGATAACAATTAAATTTGTTAGTGGTTATAAGGATATGTGAATTAACTTGATACAAAGCGATAAATTAGATTGTAATTGAAATAAATAGCGATAAAATAAACTGCAAACCACGGGAATTGGATGATTTCAATTTAAGAATGCCAGCCACCCTTGAGTTGAATATACTTTTATTGATCGATAACAATTGAATTTGTTAATGGTTTTAAGGATATGTGAATTAACTTGATACAAAGCGATAAATTAGATTGTAATTGAAGTAAATAGCGATAAAATAAATTGCAAACCACATGAATTGGATGATTTCAATTTAAAAATGTTAGCCACCCTTGAGTTGAATATACTTTATTGACAGAAAAAATATCAGAGAGTAGGAGCTTGAAAAATATATTGCTTATGAGCGTATGTTATAATGTGCTTCATGGATTGTGAAGTCCCCTTTATATATTGAGGGAGACCTACCCCTTAGAGTATTATTTAATTGTACTATAAAAACATAAGTCCTTGATTTTGAAGACCGTTGGTTCCCTTTTTGACTAATTCCATAATTTCAGCTATAATGATCGGTTAATGGCAAGAATCACAGACCCTTGTCGGACGAGCTGGCAAAGCTTTCTTCGAGACCGTTAGAAATATGACTGGTCACGCCTTCGGCAAACTCGAGGGCAAATCTGATGGTTTTGATGGCTAATTTTGATAGTGCTTTGGGTTCGATCATAATTACCATGTGTCGATCTTGGTTGATGGTGTTAGTCGTCAGATCGATCTTTGAGCTCGACTTCACTCGATTACAGATATTTCGGCCCTGGCCTAATCAAGGAGTTCGGAAGCTCGATCGAATATCGAGCTCGGTTTTACCCGTATACAGGAGTAAAACTAATACTTATTTTATCTAATATCTCCAATTAAATACGGAATAAATTTAATTTCAAATTTTATGTCGGATAACTCATCTAATCCTTTGAACCAAATGGCCCTCTAAGGTTTTGGATGCCCTACAAATTATTAGACTAATATAAAAGCAGCCTAGTGGGTGCCATCCCTTCCTATCAATGCTTGGCCTCACAAGGCCTGACCCATTTATTGGGTTGTTAATGCTTTGAGGTACTCAAACTTGTGACATGAAATTACACGTAAAGACCTTGACAATGAATTTTAATTTTCTTATCCCGTTTGTCTTGTAGACAAACCTTTTAAGGTCATAAGTGTTGCCTATGGGGCAAAAGAGGAGTAAAACTTATTCAACTTAAAGTTCTGCCCATTATACAAGAGGGGTCAAAAAATTAATAGTGGCATCCAAGTGTCTTATTTGTGCAAATTACCTAACCTGTACTTTAGGCTCATTAACTGATCCATCAGATTCGAGAATTTAGTGGGCCATGTCCTCCCTTTTTGGGTACAACAGCCCAACTAATGTTGCAGAAGAACGTGTCCGATGCAAGTCCACACCACTCTTTTTTGACTCCTTTGTTCCTTTTACCTTAAAAAGTAAAAAAGCAACAAAAAGTACTAAGTATTACCACTCTTGAATTTCAAGTTTTTGAATATTTTTTGTTATATAGTTGCAAAGAGAAAAGGTGAGACTCACTGGGGCCAAAATTTAACTCGTGGCGTTATGGTTCATATGACCTTTCAATTTAAATACAGACAGAGAAGGTTTCATAAGTCATATTTCGATAGCTTTAATTTACTTTTGCGTCTAAGTTTATCGAATTTCATATATTCAGGACTAAACAAGTTCTCATCAAAAATGTCTTTTGGTTATAAAGTGCATTTTTTAAAGAATTGGCTTATTTTAGGCTATTATTTGAAATCTATAACTAACCTCGGCCTTAGAATAGTCGAATATAATTTCGTGGACAACCACAAATTGTGCATTCTTTTGTGTGCCAAAGTCGTTAAAATTGGCTTTCAAAGTGTATGCTTACCCGCATTTCCTACTTTACTGCTCTTTACAACAACCCCCGCCCAATATAAAATGAGCACATGTCTAGTTATGTTACTCCCTAACTTGGCCACGTGTCATAATCTATTGTCAGAAATTTAAGATTTTCTAAGGAATTCACCCATATTTAAGTTACTCTAATGTGATGAAAAATAATTTTGTGGTTTTAATGTTAACAAAAGTTCATTGATCATACGTAAAATTAACTCGAATAGGAAGGAGTACAAGTAACATTGCAGGAAACAATAGAGGAGCATATTCACCAAAAGACTAAGTACCAAAATGAAAATCACCATTTTAGATTTCCCTTTTTACTCTATGGATCAATTACAGTGGCGGATTCAACAATTGGTTCGCGAGTTCAGTAGAACCTGGGACTTCGAATTTGAATCCTATATATATGTGTCGGAAAATAAGTACATATAGAGCAAGACATACATTTTAGAACTCATTCTCTCAACTTAGAACCTGCGACGTCTAAATTCTGGATCTGCTAATGGTCGACTAATGCAGTTCTGTTGTAACTTTGAGAGAGCAAATTCATTAAGGAGGTCACTAAGATTCTCAAAACATAGCAAGAAAGCTTAAAGATGGATACTAGAGAGTGTAGCTTCTTCATATAGCAAAACCAAACAAATAAATAGGCTTTAGAATAAGATAATGAATAATAGAGACAAGAAAAGACATGGATATAATGTGAATGTCTCAAAGCTAAAAGAAATGAATAGTCTTAACCAGCAAAAATTGAAGCATATGCTTGGATATGCCAAAATCAGAAGGAAATGTTAGGTTCATATAACTGATCAGCAATAATGAAACTACTACCTCTATCCAAAAATGAAGAAATTGTGCCTCCCAATTTGCCTATACAGTATAGCATTGTCTGCAAATTGGAAAACCTTGTTTGTCACCAACTACCAAGATACAAGGTGCGCGTGCTCATCATCCTCAACTTCAACTGGAGCAGGAAGGTTAAGATCAAGTAAATCGTCGACGTCTTTCTTGACAGGTGAAGATTGATTCATGTTCTGCGCAGTACTAACTATAAAATGGGACCTTTTGTGGCCACCCAAAGCTTGACCAGACTTGAAAATCCTGTCGCAAAATGGGCATTCATGTCCTTTGAATTTCTTAGGCTTAATCTTTTTCTCAGCAGAAGCCGGTTTTCTACTGCTTAAAGTCTCCCTATGCTTGTTATCGTGATCAGCAGCATCAACGCTATTCTCACCAGTTCCATTTGTTGATTCGATACAAGCATTCGTCTTTTTATGGCAAGGTCTATGTCCGCCAAGAGCTTGATATGAGCTAAAATTCTTCTTGCAATTCAAGCACTCATACTTCTTCTTAAACGACTCATTCTCTATCTCAGGATTATAAGAACTATTCTTAGCCCTCTTTCTTGATTCGCATTTATCTGAATTTGAAGCTATCCTGTAATAATCATATTCACTTCTTGATGCTGTAGGATATCTTTTAGTTCTGTTTAAGCCCTTTCCCTTATCGGTCCCAGACTCATCACACCAAACAGTATCACTCATTTTAGAGGTGCTCCATTTGCTATTACCATTTCTGTGGAATCCATCAAAAGAGACATCTGATTCAACTGTTGTATTTTCATCTAAAAAGTATGCAGAATCAGAGTTTTCAGACTCAGCTTCAGCATTCAAAACACTAAGTTTCAAGTCCCTATCTACCTTTTCCTTGGTTCGCGGCGTTTCATCTTGATTGTAAACACATTTTAGACCATCCTTTCTAGCAAATCTCATGTCAGTAGAGGATGATTTGGTCTCTAAAACAACAGAATTATTATCAGAAGACTCAATAAATGAAGTGACACAATTCCAAGAATCCCTAGACAACATCATCAAACACTTTGCTATTTCCTCTTGATCTTGCTCATTATCAATCTCAGAAACACATGAGGAACCATTATTAATGGTATTATCATTAACTAAACAAACAGAAGACTTAACCACAATTCTTTTGTACCTCTTAGTCTTTGATCTTGTCCTCAGCCTTAACTCCTCCTCAGCTTCAGTATCTGAATAACTAGTCCCTTTATCTTTCTCTGAATGACAAGCCATGTGACCACACAATGCTTTAAGTGATTGAAATACTTTACCACATTGTTGACAAACTCTCTCTTGAGGCAAAGGAGAAGTTGAATCCACAGCCCTCCAAGTTTTCTTGGGATTCTCTCTTAGACCATAACCAGAATTCCCACCAAGTTCAAATTTTGATTGATACTGATTTTCTCTATTCCAAGATTGCAACTTTTCAAGTTGGGGTTCAATTTTTTCCTCAAATTCAGCTGAATTTGTAAGTACATGAGATCTCATGTGGCCCCCAAGTGACTTTCCACAAGGGTACTTTTTGTTACACAACTTGCATACAAACTTCAAATCTTGAACTTCTTTCATTTTTTTTTGGTTAAGTTCTAGTACTAGTAACCAAGTTAAATTCAAAGAAGAACCAAAGAGTAGAAAAGCAAGATTACAAGTGAAATATTTTTGCAAAGCTCAAATCTTGCCACAATGCCACATTTCAAGAAAACCCAAAATATTGCTCTATAGCATCAGAGGAACCTAGCCAAGAAGCAAAATTAGAACCCCAGATCAAAGTAAAGAAAGGGAAGGGAAAAAAACAAAACTTGGAAAAAGCTCAAAGTTGTCCTATGGGGTTGGGACACAGATCACAAAGTGTTGCTCAAGCAATAGGAATAAAAAAACAATAAACTGCTCAGATGTGGCACTTTTTGAGAAGTAGAAATGACTCTATGAGTTCAATATCCATGTAATCTCTCTCTCACACACACAAATAAACACACACCAAAGAGAAATACCCTTTTGATTAAGTGTTCAGTATTTCAAGAATCCTTAATGGGAAGGTAAAAAAAAATCAAACTTTCAACAGAGGGGCTGCGACTGAAATGGCCATAGAACCAGCCAAAATTATTCAGACACTAAAAAAGGAAAATAAATAAATAAATAAATGATCTCAACAGAAAGCAAAAGACTCTTTCCTCTCTCTGTTTCACTTTGTTTGTGTGTGTGTGTGTGTGTGTTATAGTTGGAGGAGAATTCCATGCATGAAAGCAAATTGAGAGAAAAGAGGCCAAAAAACACAAAAAAGATGGGCAGACGTGTAATCTTGGGAGGATTATTCGTTCTTTACAAAATTATACGGTCAAGATTTGCTACGAACTGTTTATTTTAATTAGGGTGTTCGTGGTTCGGTTTGAATTGATTTTTCCCTAAAAAGAAATATTCCCTAAAAAGAAATCAAACTAAGTAAGTCGGTTCTTCAAATACCAGAATCGAACCAAACCAATTAAGTCGGTTTTTAATCGATTCAATTTTTGTCGGTTTTTCAGTTTTTTCGGTTATTATCGATTTTTTTTCTTAAATATGAGACATACACTATCAAACACATATTCCGGCGATTACATTTTTAATGTAACATCTATCATTTACCAAGATATATTGATGATAATTGAATCAAATAGTGATGAATAATTTAATTACTCAATTAAAAATTAATTATTTTTAACATGAAATAAATTCTTATACTTAACAAAAGAAAAATACTAATCAAACTAGAATGTCAAAGCAAAAAATTAGATTATTATAATAGCAAAGAACTATATTAAAAATACAAACGACTAATATGTACCATAAAATTTTAGAAACTTTATATAAAAATACACACATATATATAGGTGTAATAATAAATTTAAATAGCTACTTCTATAGTCAGTTTGGTTCGGATTTTTCGGTTATTTTTTGATTAAAACCAAAACCAAACCAAATTTGATCGGGTTTTTAAATTCAAAATCAAAACCAAAACCAAACCAAACCTAAAATGTATCGATTTTTTTGGTCGGTTTGGTTCGACTTTTCGGATTTTTATGAACACTCCTAATTGTAAGGATTGAAATTCAAGAATCAGCAACAGCAACAGATAACTCTTTATAAGACATGGGAGACCTGGGATCGATTCCCCTTACTAGCAGGCTACTCAGTTAGAGATTGTCGCATGGCGCTTGCCTAGTTCAGTTTACTTCTCCTGTGTGATTTGCCAGTTATTGCATAGTGAGTAGATTACTCAATGCGTTTACCCAATGCGTACCCGAAAGGTAGCGGCCGCGGGTTTCTATGATTAACATGCACTAATTGTATAATAAAAAGAATTAACCTAAATAGTAGCCCACTCAATTAATTAAACTAAAAATAGTCATCGAATATTTATCTATACTATATTAAAAGTATGAAAATCCTTAGCGAAATGTCGTTCACCTTTTTTACCCTTTAAAAATAGGTTTCACATTAGATAAAAGTGCAATTTAACTATTTTTCTAATATTAGGAAGTGATATTTAATTATTTTCCTAATATTCAAGAATAAATATTCAATTATTTTCTTAATATTTAGGAGTTCTTTTCATTCTTTTTACTAAATAATCTGAATTCAACTATAATTCATTCAAAATGCTTAAGAAGGAAACCGTATATATCTTTGCTTAGAGAATATTTTTTGAAAACTTTGCTGCAGCTTATCAAACTGAAATAAATAAATATATTACACACTTAATTTCCTCAACCTTTTTGGAACCATACTGTACGCCTTAGGATTCTTATGTTTGGCGCGTATACAACAACTCGAGAATATAATTCCCCCGGTCGTTCAATTTTCTCAAATTGTCCTCCAAATATTTAGCTATTTATAATTTATATAAAAAATAAATATACGAAGTGCAATTATAGCTGTCTAATATGAATATACTTACGAATAGTAAAAAGTGATCTACATGCTAAAACATCTAACACAAATTTAAAAAAGAATTAGATTATTTCTTTTTATCTTTTCTAGGATTGATAGACAGATTTACTTGGTACATGTTACGAAAATAATATGCATCCCATAAAATTAATCGAGATGTATACAAACTGACCTAGACACTTATAAAATAATTAAAAAAAATAAAAAATACTTCCTATCATTAAAAAAAATGAGAAAACAACATTTTCAAGAAGGAATCTAAGGTTCTTCAATTCCTAAAATTCTAAACTAAATAAAATAGAAAACATAACTTTTCAAGTAGCGGTGAAAACTGTTTACACCCCCAAATTTGCTTTAAACATCAAATTCTCCCATCAACTTTGAACAATAGACATTATATTTATTAATTTTAAAGTTTAAACCTTTTATTTTATACGCAAGCATAGTTTTTAATATATTACTAATTGGGAGCAGGATTACCTTAAGACTAGTATAATATATATGTATAACCATATATAATCAATATATAATTTATGTATATCGGCTAGAAAAAGTAAACAGTAAAACCGGGCGACTACTTGCGTAAAGATAACTTACATTCCAATGTCTAAAAGTTATTAAATCCTTCTAGAATTTAACGGAACTTATTTGTTAGGATTATTCTTGAGACATATATAAAGACATCACCCAATTTGGGGTGGATATAGAGTGGCACCTAGTAGTTTACAGTGAACAAATCCTTTATATGTGTTAAAATTTTTATTAAAATTTATAACTTTAAATTTTGGATCCGTCTTATAATATTTTTATTATATTTTATCAGTCTCAAATTAGCTGGCATATTTTGCTTTTTAAGAGCTAAACTTTGTAAATTTTGATTAATATTTACAAATATATTTTTTCATTATATTGACACAAAAAAAAAGTTGCAAGTTTTAGTATTTTTGTATCGTTTTTGAATATTTAATTTTTAATTTTAAAATTGTGAGCTCGTCTAATCTAATTAAACTTTAAAAATTAGTCAAATTAACTCGCGAGGAAAATATAATAATTAATTTGGGACGGGAAAGTAGTATTTTTCTTATTTGTCTCTGCTTCCTAGTCATACCCCTCAAAAGTCCGAATATTCAGCCGTTATTGCTCTCTCATCTTCCTCGTTTGTCCACTTGTCCGTTCATAAACTCATTATTATATTCATTTCCCCTCCCCCACAACACCCTCTTCAATTTTATATTCTTTGTGCTTGTTTCTTGGAGTTTTTTTTTCCAACTATATTTTACACAGTCAACTCTTTTTTAATTAACATTTTGACGAATGTTTGCGGATAGAATTTCTCGCTCGTAAAAAACATGAGTTAGTGACCGACAAATTATGTAGCTAAATAAAAAAAATTATCGCTAATCCTATTTAGTAACAAATTAGCGATAAATTATCAAAAAATTCTATTAGCTATAAGTAATATAACGATAGATTAACGACAAAGTTCATAGTTAATTTCAATTTTGTTTTTGTGTCTTTACCTTGTTTTGTTTTCCAAGACCTCCATTTAAGTGTAAACACTTCATTTTTGTCATATTGGGATTTGGTTTTGTCCTAGGTTAACTAGGAGATTTTATAGCCCCACTATAGCCTCAAGAAACACGCAATTTAATTCAGTGACTGTCCACCAACTAGTACGAGTAGTTGGTTCTTGCGCTGATACTTATTTCGGAAAATTAAGGAAGAAATAATTATTTGCAAGAAAGATTAATGTGGTGAAAATTTAATAATACATAAACATTAATTAGTCATATAACTCTTACTATTATGGTTTTCTTAACGAGTGCGTAAACAAATACTACCGTGAGAACCAAATTGGAGTAGAGAGAGTATCATATCTGCCCAAAATTCAATCCGGGAAATTTTCAGCGGCCTAGACAGGATTTGAAATTTATGTGTTTAAGATTTTAATTTTTTTAATTTATTAGGTTCTAGATTAATACGTTATATATATTTAATAATTTTGTTTAGATAAATATAGAGTTTGAACCAAATCTACTGGCTTCGGGTTAGCTCCCCCCCACCCCCAC